CTGATAAAAACAAATTGTAGCTGATGTCTCTCAATCAAAAATGTTTGCTTTTCTTCTAGATTGATTTATTAAAAGTTGAATTCTTTCTTCGATATGCTCATTCTTTTTTTGATAATGTTTCTTTTTTTCATGAAATCTGCCATATGAGAGAAGCTCTCAAATGACCTATTGGTTTTTCCGCGAAGCATGCACAACTGTATGAAGTGCATTGTGTTGCTTGTGAATATTATGGTGTTACAAAGAAACACATTTAAGTCGACCTTATGAGAACGAGTTCAAAAGCATATTCTATCTCTCAGAGACCTCGATGAATATCTCGAATACGACTTTCTTAGCTTCCTTCATGTGGGTCTCGAAAAACGAGAGTGTATAACTTTTTCATTTTTGGGTTCTTTCTTACTATGTTTTGTACTTTTGTCAAATTTGCAAAAACAAATTGTTTTCTTTGGAGACAGCCACTTAATATGAGCGTAAATCGATATATCCCATGTCGTACAATTATTTGAACTATCGCCGGTATACCGCGGTGTAACGGCGGTCAAAACACTGCCAAAATACACATGTATTTATCTATATAGATAACTATTTTTCTTTCTTTAATTTAGATAATTTTCAACATAACAATGAAGAGCAAGTATTTATTACAGATATGATAATATTTTTCTTCTATTTAGAGGTAATCTCAACTCCATGAGATAAAGTAAGCATTTATGTAAACCATTTGTTTCTTTCATTTAGACCGATTTTAAGATCACAATGAACAGTGAGTACTGATTTATAAAATAATTTTTTTCGTTGGTTTAGAGCAATATTAACAACAACAAAAAGTAAGTATTTTTTTATGCAAATTATTTTTTTTCTTTTATTTAGATTAATTGGAAAATGATTGACTTAACAAAACGACGAAACAAAGACGAAGCAACAATTGCTAATCATATCTACGATTCGAAGTCTTACAAATTTAAGAATAAATGTTAATTGTCATAGGTTGCAAGTAGGTTTAGTGAATCTATTTATTAAAAATCCTCTTATTTCTTTATTTATATGTCGAAAGTTGTTTTTGAGTGAAATGTAACTGTTATTTAAATTCTTCTCGGAAACAGTGAAATTTCACTCAAAAAAGAATTTTCGATATCTAAATATAAAAATAAGAGGATTTTTTATTAAATAGATTCACTAAACCAATTTGCGACCTATGATAATTTACATTTATTCTTAGGTTCGTAAGACTGCGGATCAGTAGATTCGTACCCTGATCGCGCTAGTATACCGCCAGTTATTTTGTTACTACCGGTAAATATCGGCGGTTCACCGGCGGTATATCGCCGGTTTTTTTGCAACTACCGGCAAAACCGCTGATTAACCGTCGGTAGAGCGCACCTTATACCGAACTGTCTACCGGCGGTATACCGCCGGTTTTTCCCCGGTTCGAATCATATGGGATAGGAGCTGTCCCATTATCACATCTATGTTTCTTAACCAAATGTACATATGATCGATTACTTATCGTTTTCGACAACACAGGAACACAGTGTATAGAGAGTTAAGCTGGAGAAATGGATATGATATCTTCACTTTTGATGACGAGACAGCTCTTGTATATCAATTTATGTTTATATCAAGTGGCTTTCTCGAAAAAAAACTGCTTGTTCTTGTAAATTTGACAAAAGCAAGCAATGATATGGCATATCTACTACTTAGTAAGAATATGTTTCATTAATGTACCAATAACATGATAATTTATAAATTTCAAATGGCATTAATATGATGGATAATAGTTTCAAAAAGTGCTCCAAATTTTCTCAAAGGCGTTCACTGGAGATTCTTCAAAACAGTAGAACACTTTTTGAGAAGAATCATAGTAGGGTGCATTTCGCCTAATCATTCATGAAGAAGAAAAGGGCAGAATATTATTTTAGTTTCATTAAAATTAGAAAGTATATTATGAACCTCAAAAGAAGAAAATCCTGTTTCATGGAGTGATATTATAAATAAGCAAGTGTTCTCATTTGCGAACATAAGCTCGAAATTTAAAAACTTCTAAAATGAAATTTAAAATTTTTTTCCATTGAAACGATTCAAATTGAAAACAATCTGAAGTTTTAAATTTTCGTTTTCTAAATTTTCAAAAAGTTAGTTATATTAAGTTTAAAACAGTTAACATTTGAACAAAAAAGCTTCTTAAGAAATAAGTCGAAGATTTTAAATTTTCGTTATTAAATTACTAGACATTTACTGAGAATAATTTTAATAAAGCTGATATCTTCAGTATTACAACTATCTGTAATTTATAGAGTTCGCTAAACGAGTGTTTTTCTTTTTTCTTGCTAACAAACTGCAATTTATCGAGTTTGCTAAGTATTGAGTTTCACTAGTTCAATAAAATAAGCTGTAATTTGTAGAGTGCGTTAAATATAGTAATACTTGCTTTTTTTTTATTTAATTAACTGCATTTTATAGAGTTCACGAGACATACTTGTTACTATGAACATCTTGAATTATTTTTGAACTTGAACGCATCATCTAATTGTCATTATAAAATGGAATCAAACATCGAATGAAGGCAACTAATTGGGGTGCAAAGGCATTTATATACAAAACTCAAAATACAAAAGATGATGTTCGAAAAGAGACAGTTTTGAAACATGGATGTTGATAACAGTCTTCACTTGACAAACGGAGTTCGGTCCGCCCACATTCCATTCGAAATAAATATCGAATTGCCACAAGAAATTATGATAGAATCTCTGTAAAAACTAGCATTGTCTTTAATTACAATTGTTCTTAGTCAAGTCCACATCGATGACCCTTGCTCGTGCATTATAAGTATTAGCTTATCAATAACACAAGAAAAAGAAGTCAGCTAGTCAATTTCAAGTTTGCACTGGATTAAAATTCTTCTTAGTTAAGTTCAAACAAAAATCTTCATTCAATCAATACCTAACGTTCTTCACAAATTGTACTAGATATCTAGAGCTTAAAACTCTTGGTTCTCAAAAACTTGCGTCCACTACAAATTGCAGCAAACCTAATTAATACAAAATATAACTTTACTTTAAGATCTTTTAAAAAAATTGACTAGCTGTATGCGTTTTCAATAATCAAATTTTTAAAAGTAAACTTTAAATTTGAATCGTTTGACAAAAAAATTAATAATTTATCAACTGTAAATCAAATGAAATTCTAAAAATTTTAATTTATTTAACTTTATTTTTTTTTATGTTCGCAAATGAGAGGTAGCCGTTGAAGGGTTGAAATCGTTTAAGTTGATGTTAATAAATATCAACGACCTGAAACAGTTACAATCACTATGCAAGATGTCACTCGTGGAAGTGGTACAGCAAAATCAATAAGTGAAATGAATATGTTCTAATCGAAGTAAGAATAGAAATGCTGCGGAAAAATCTAAACAACTGGATGAATTTGAAAAAAGAATAAAAATAATGATTACAATGTAAAAAGACGAATGATAAAAAAATGTTCTATTGTTCACATATCAAAATGAGATACACAGCAAAGTGAGATTTTATTCGTAATTATTTGGATATTTTATTTTAAGTGTTTTTAGTATTTCGGAAAAATGAAGGCATTCAAAAAAGTCTAAATAAAGATGATTCACTTTCTTCATGTTTTTCAACCAAAATCGATGTATACAAATATGATTTATTCAATTGTTAAGCTTGGAAAAAAGTTTGCAGGCATCCCATACAAACAAGTTTCTTGAATAATCACTAATAATCGATTAAAAATCAATTATAATCATACGATTATAATCAATAATTTAAGCAGAAATAATCATAAAAATTCAACACAAAATAGATTATAATTAAATTAATGAAAATAATCGATTTTGTGCTGATTTTTTGTGTACTCAAAAAGTGAGTACACTCTAGAATTGGTCAGTATGGCCGTCCGGCCGTATACACGATAACTTTCGAAAGGAGAGTCAGATCATGATGAAATTTTATACACAGTTTAGTCTTAACAATATCTCGGTCGAGTTCAAAGATGAGCATGATCGGCCGAGCCATTCGTGAGTTATTGCAAAAATAGTCATTTTTCCCTATGGCTTCCTATGCGAAAATCGACCCATCCCAGCTTTCGTAAAAGACTTTTCCCATCATAGTCAAATAAAACCCCAACTATTATATACCATTCGCTAGATAATTTCACGAGCTGCAAAATGGTATATAAAACATAAAGGAACGAGAAGACTAACCCACCTATTACAAAGATAATTAAACGGAAATAGCTTCCGTTTTTGTCCACCATCTAGTTGACTCACAATTCGAGCTCTATCTTCCGATCATAGAGTTGATACTTTGAGGTTTTCTGGGGCGGAGAACTCGAATCCGTACTCCACTTGCCTCAAAATACTATTGGTTGAGCAGTGACCAATAGAAATCAAGTTATAGGAAAAACGACTTTCTTAGGGTAAATCAAGGCGAAGAGTTCAAATTTGAGCTCTATTCGCCTCCAAGCCCTATTGATGGATCAATAGTCAACAGAAATAAACAGTTTATAGGAAAGGTTTCCCAGTATAATTTTGATATCCACATATTCTAGGATGACTCATCTGTCTAATTCACTTTTTGAAGTACACATAACTCTCGGATTTAAATCCGAAGTTTCCGCATTTATGTATAATTATTTCTGCTTAAATTATTGATTAAAATCGTTTTATAATTATAATCGATTATTAGTTATTATTCAAGAAACTTTTTTTTTACATTGGATGGCATTTATTCTAGAGCATTCCAAATTTCGAATACTGTCGTTCTACATTTTATTGATGCCAAAGATTTTCAAAAACACTAAAAGAGACATATTCATTAAAACATAGTCGATTAGAGAATAGAAGCAACTTTTCATATAGTAGCGACAGCTTATCGGAATCGATAAGCTGAAACTGAATTCTTATTAGCATTGAAAATATTTGTAGAACGTTCGTCTCAAACATCGAATTTGTATTGTTTCATGGTTTTCTCTTCTCACTGTCTTTAACTTGGACATATCCAATAACTAATTCCAGAACGCGGATGTCGTGGAACTGATCTGCTGCTGTTTGTGCGAAAATTTTGTTGCGGTATTTCGTCGATTGTTGATTGGAATCTTTTCAGTTGTGGTGAATTCATATATATAAGCTGTGATGATTCAACTGCTGAAGAAATTGTTTGATTGAATCTTTGTTGTTCAGACAATTTGATGTCTGGCTCACCTAAAACTTGTAACCACGTAGCCATACACTTGATCAGTTTATTAGCGTACAATTTGTATCTCCACGTTTCTGGAATGTTTTCATAACCATAGTAGGCACCCGCCAATTGACCGTAGATTGCTGCGACAGTATCAGTATCATCCCCAAGATTGACGGCGTTGAGTGCACCCTCTTCAAAAGAATCGCTACTCCAAAATGCCCATAAAGCTGCTTCAAGTGTTTTCACAATGTATGCTTTGCTCCGAATTCCATCTTCATAACCTCCTGGCTTTTTAAACGATCCACTGGCGACACGGAGAATTTTGCTATGAAGTTCTCGAGAACCAAACCATTCGCGATAATAATGATAAAATTGGTCACTAAGCAGATTTTCTTTATGTTCACCATAAATAGCTGCAATAATAAGTGCTGCATAATAACGACATGCATCAACGGCTACATCATCACCGTGTGTGAGACGAGCACTTTCACCTGAAAGTTCAACTGCAAGAGAAGGTGTTCGATAGAAGAACAGTGGCACCGGAGCAAGACGCATCAGAGCACCATTACCAGCAACGCCTGGCCCACTACAATTTACATCAAAGCCGACTTGTTGAATGATATCAAATGATAGTTCATCAACTTGTGATTCACTATGACTGTTCAAATGATTCTTCAGTTGATTCTGACGATTATTAAACTCTTCTAGTGCATCACGAGTTCCATTACCAATGTCAAAACAACGCCCATTAGAAGATAAATACCCATGTTTATACCACCATTTGTAGCGAACCATTTGATCATAAGGATTAAAATATTTTTGAGTGATAAGTGATGAAGCAAGACATAAAGCCATAGCAGTATCATCTGTCCATTTACCAACTGGTAAATCCCATGTACCTCCACCGTTCATATCACGAACAGGATGAGCGGCGAGATATTCTCGAGAACGAAACTCCACGCTTGCTCCAAGCGCATCTCCTACTGCTAGACCTATAAGACAGCCCTGGATTGCTTCGAGAGCTTCAGGATTTTGTGATTGTGTTGGAGGCCAGATGAGGTCAATATCATCAGGAAGTATTTTTTCATGAGAAGAAGGAAATCGTAGCATCGGCATAGCAATAAATCTAGAAAAATAAAGCATTATTGATCAAGTTTTTAACCATTAGATAGCAACAAATCATTTGTTTCTCAATAATAATTGGATAACTGCAAAGAAAAACATCAGTTTTCATGATTCAATTATTACAAAAAGTAAATATTACTGGTGCGATGATAATATATCTATGAGAACATATATTTGCTAGAAAGCGTAATCAGTAGATTGACCCTTTTTTCTCGTCTTACCTTGAGAATGTGTAAATAACATAGTTTTGATTAGTTTTTTTTTCTCATCTTCCTCAATCACCTGATTGCTTTGCTTGACGAAATATGCGAAGACGAAAAAGAAAATAAAAGAAAAAAATAAGTAAAAATGATATTCCGTAATTTTGTTGATGAAGAAAGAGATGAAAATCTTTTTTTTTAATGATTCTTCAAAGAACAAATCTGATGCGACAATAATGGGACCAGATGCTCACATTTGAATAAAAACTCCAAAGTGAAAAAGCAAAATAATATATCTGTCATAGAATCTTTTATAGAAAAAAATATCTAATTTGTGCCAATATTGACTCTAATGTGCATATTTTTGATGACACATACTCTATGTATGTGAGATACTCTTTATATAATCACCTTCAGTGTAAAAACAAATTACTAGTATTTGAAACATTTCTATATTGATGACAAAAACAACCGAAGTAACTATCGAGCCAATCTATGTTTTTTTTTCTGTTTTTCCTACCAAATATTTTTGTCATAAGATAGACTATAATTGTGTGTCATCGTCCACTAACTTAACCGTTTTGAAGTCATTACTCTAAGGATGTTTTGTCGTAATTGATATTGCAAGCATACTTTTAAAAATGATTCAATGCTATATGATTAATTGAGGACGTGGGTAGAATATTGACTTCGTCATCGTCCACCTTCATATCCAAAACCAAGCAGATACATACAAGACACAGCGTACGCCAAAAATCATACTCAGATCCACGAGACTCAAACAGCCACATCTATTGTTATCAAGATTTTACTTTTTCCAGTTCATCAAAGAAAAATCGCAATGTAGTGTAGTCAAAATTGAAATTTTAGTTTTGAGTGAGATTAAATTGATCAAAATAACTATTTGAGTTTTAATTAGGCAAATCTTAAATTTGATTGAATTTCAATTTTGACCATAACATAACATGTAAATTTGAGACAGAGTTTTACATGTGAATTAATAGACAAATGCTATCAGTGCTTTTTTAAAAAAATTTTATTATAATTTCTAGGTACTTATCACGACGTCAAATGGAACAACCCAGAATTCATTCTTCTAGACTGTGATTATATAAATCTTTATAGAATATGAACTACTTGCATCATATGACAGTATTATATATGAGTGAGTATGGCAAAAATATGGTTTTAATCATTAGCAGTTAATTCTTTAAAATTGTTGTCATGTTATTTATTTTATAAAATATCTTTTATTTATGCAATCAATAGAGTAAGATGTTTACCATATGAATTAATTTGATCACTTTTTTTGTTTGCAGCGCAATATTTATGTATATTGAAATTCTATTCATAAGAAAAACTATCGTCATAAAAGTTTATATTATTTGAGGAAATTTGTCAAAAGCAAAAAAAATTCAATTAAAAAGATATAGAAAATTATATAAAAGACAAAAACTCAATTATCATATATGCATGCAATAAAACCTTTATTCAAGATCAAATAATAAAAACTCAGCATTGATCGATCCAATATTTTCTATTGAAAGTTCAGTATTTAGCTCTTCACAATTAATAAATGCTCCATCACCTTCTTGTAATATAACATCTTGTCCAATTCGAATTTTTGCACTATTTCTTACATCATATCCACTTCTCATAATTAAATGAATATACCCTTTTGTTCTTTTGAAAACATGTTTAATAGAATTATTCGATTGTAAAATACTAGCAAACATAGATAATGGTGCATGAATGGCAATTGTTTTTGCATTACAATCTTTTATATCATCGATTAATAAACAAAGTTTATTTAATTTTTCTTCATCTGACCATTTCTTTGTTGTATAAGATGGTTTAAGTTTTGATTGATTTGGTTTAACCCATATTTGAATAAAATGGACCGAAAGTAATTTATTAACATTATATTCTGAATGTTGAATACCAGTTCCAGCTGATGTGAATTGCACTTCGCCACGATGGATTACTTCTGTATTTTCCATTGAATCTTTATGTTGTAATTCTCCATCAACAATATATGAAAATATTTCATATTCACTATGTGGATGTGTACCAAAGCCTGTTGTTGGCTGAACTCGGTCTTCATTTATTACACGTAAACAACCGAAACCTTTGTCAAAACGTGGATCATGATAGGAAGCAAATGACCAAGTATGAAATGTTTTTAACCAACCATGATCAGCATGACCACGTTCATGTGAACGACGAGGAGTTATTTGTATTTTCGAAGACATTGTACAGTTTATAGGAAATAAAAGAAAGATGTAGAAATTAATCAATGAAAAATATCCATTTTTATAGTCAATTCTTGAGTTGCGTTTGTCAGAATGATGCAGCAAAAAAAAGACAACATTTGGTAACATTATGATTGAGAACAACACACGTGTTTAATGGGTGGTTGTTTTCTTTCTTTACATAGCAGAAAGAAAGAAAAAAAAACTTCGTAACGTATTTTTTTCTTCCAATCTTACTCAGTAGAACAAGCAAAAAAATAGTCGTGCGTCATTCAAAGTAAAAACCTTGACTGGATAAATGTTATTTCACTACGAGGAAACGTACGTCTGTCATTGAGCAGCAGAGCATTAACTTGAGATAACACATGAATTTGATGATGATGCTCGTCAATATGATAAAGATGGAAATCGAATTCCTTGATAGTCAAATAATACAGTAAATCAATTTAATGAACGTAAACAATGCATTATTGATCAATATAGCAACTATACTGTGGAACAAATCAGGAATAAGATCTCTTTTATCTCAGTTATTGATTCAATGATAGATTGATATGATTTCTTTTTATTTGAATGGCGAATAAACACAAGGAGAAAATATTGCTGATAATGGTGGAATTAAAAATTCGTTCTTTGTGAGTTAATCACACTCATGTATTGGAATTTTTGAAAACTTTAATCTTTATTAAATAGGCTTGTTAAAATTGAGTAAACGAAAATCCAAATGTTGATACAAGATTACCAGGTCTAAGTAAATATTCTCCAGAAAACACGTTCGTTATTGGATATGTACATGGATGGTGTGCAAAATTCATCGATGTCTGTGCTTTAAATTGAGATTTAACACATGTTCATGCTCTTGTATAATTTAGGTATATATAATCTTTCTGCTTATTATTTAGTAATTCTTATATATCCTTTGATTTTTATTTTATGTATAGAGTTCTTGGCAAATTGTCGAATTTTGCTGAATTCAATCGTGTATTCAACTGCACACCTGGTCAAGGAAATAACAGAATTAAAAAATGCGCTGTTTGGTAGTATACGTGTGTATTTGTATTTGTGTTGATTTCAATAAATAATATTTAATCTTTTTTTTTTCACTGCCATCTCTCGTTTAGCATACAAATAAAGAAAGTATTTCCTCTTAGAGTCTCGAACTGTTACGTGTTGGCTAATTCATTACTCAGCAAAATTTATCGAGAATCGATGAACAATAGAATAAAAGTGAATTATAGAAATATTCAAAAGAGAATTACTCACAATGAGTGACTTTGAAGAGTAAAGGGTAGTCCAAAAGTTTTGACTATTTTCACTAAATTGATGATATCTACAGCAAACTTATATGAAGTTATTGATAAAATTATGTCATTTTGTAGACAAAGATTAGAGCTATCATCTGAAAAAAAAACTAGTTTAAAACACATTAATCTATTACAATGTTATAATCATTTTACTAATCTTGAGTAGAAATTTGTACGTTGTATTTAAAAAAAAACCTCTTTAATGTTTGAGCCCTTAAGGTCAATCAAAATATTATTTTCTACACGGTTTTAATATATATTTTTATATTGTGCTCGATAGAGTTCGACAAGCTCTACAAGAATATAAATATCAAGAAAAATTCGAATCCTGTTTCCAATATAAAACTCGGAAGAAATCGCACAGATTGATAAAAATTTCACATATGTTGTATGAGATAGTATGCTTAGCTTTCAATAACTGTAGTTGATCGATTGTTGATTGATGTTTCAAGATGCAACATTATATACTGAAGCTGAAAATAATTCTTTCAAGCTACATGAGCAGATGGAAGAGTCAATCAGCTAAAGCTATTGAAAGTTCAACTTATTCTCTCGAATATTTACTACATGAAATTTTTATTAGTCTTTCTGGTTCTCTGCAAGTTTTATATTGAAAATAAGATTAGAAATTTTTAAACATTCATATTCTCGTAGAGCTTGTCGAACTCTAGCGAATCATGTAAAAATATCTAGAAAACAATATGTCGCTTAGGATGTTACAAGCCTATTTTGTTTTTTCAAAAAATATAACGTAAAAATTTTCACTCAAGATTAGGAAAATGATCATAACATTGTAACGGATTGATATGTTTCGAACTAGTCTTGTTTTTCAGATGAAATTTCTCATCTTTCTCTACAAAATGACATAATTTGATCAATAACTTCAAATAAGTTTGTTTTAGATATCATCGATTTACTGAGAGGGGAGTCGAAACTTTTGGATCATCCTTTAGTTGAAGTACATTTCTTATGAAAATTGACCAGCAGATATAAATATATTATTAAATAATGAACATAGTTCTTGTCTGTCTGACAAATTTTAACATCAAAGTTTTTGAAACAGTTTTCCATAACAATTATCGATGACATCACTTTTCTTTTCAATACAGTTCAGTGATTGATTTAATGTTAAGTAGCATGAATCTTAACAATATTTAGCAACAAAAAGATTTACACGATCAACGTTCATACTCTAGAGATTGATCTTTCCATTTCTAATTAGCAATAAACTGTTGACAATGAAATGTTCAAATTCCTTCTCTTAACACGAAGAAAAAATTATTTCAATTTCCCTTCTTTTGATACAAATAATCATAATAACAATACATTTAAAAAAGATTTTGTCAATAGCTTGATTTCTACAGTTTCTAATTCACTAAATAGGATATTAAAATTAACGATAAGAAAAAAGAATAGGTTAGAAATGTTACAATCATAGATGTTTCGAGGGGTGACCCCTACTCCTCAACAAAATCCGAAAAACTCTAGCAAAAATCTTCCAATCGGTCTGCTGAGTCATTGCCTCCTTGTCAATCCTGATGATCTCGGAACATTTCTGGTTATCGATATCTGATGCATATATATGTAATTTTGTTGTTCAATATCGAAAATTAAATAAAAAATAAACAATCGGAATTGTTTAGATGCAAAAAAAATAGAACCAATGGATATATTCAAAACATTTTGGTTATTTCTACTGTAAAGTATCTTTAAAAGAAATTTTAATAAATATAAATGCATTGTAAGTAATTTTAGAAAAAGATTTTTTTCTCATACGCTTCGAAGGAAATTACATTTTTCAACGTTTACACAAGTGCGACATTCTTGTAATAAAAGTAAAAGTACGTTGTTATTTTTCACGGATAGCGCGCTGTAATGCTTTTTTTTGTTGATTGTAAAAAGTTTATAACTAGAATTACCATGGAAAAATTTCTGGTACTCTTTTAAACAGAGTTATTTCTTAAATGACCATCCACTTTTTTGTTGTTTTAACAACAAAATATTAACTTCAATGATTTCAGAAAGATAAGTTTCAAAGAAAAACTATGTCGAGAAGAAACTTTGAACGTAAATATGTATGCAGATTTTATTCTCGTTTTTCTTGTCTTGCTACTCAAATATTGTTTCTGCTTTGTAGAATCCAGCTCAATATGATGTTGCATTCAAATTACTTTCTATCAATTGTCGCCGATGTATTGCCTTTCTTCCCGACAAGTATTAATACCAAAATACACATAATAAAAATTATTCATTTATTTGTTATAGTCCGAATGACAAATTATGTCATTGTAATCGAACTAAACATGAACATCTCACTACAAATGATCAAGAGCAACATAATGAAAAGTGGTGTGAAGATATTCATATCATGAAAGACTCAACAAAAGAACAGGGAGTTTCTCTCGTTAACGGAGCACCAGTAAGAAAAAGATAGAATGAGCCTTATTCTCAATTCGCTTGTTGGCCCCCAACAAGCAAAAAGAAGGGGCCATATGATAACTTGCTTGTTGCTAAGGTCGGTCTCTTTTCTTTCATCTATCTTTTTCTTTTTCAATCGTTTTGTTGAAAA